TCTTTTAATATTTGTTGTAATGGGTTTATGGTTCCAAAGTAATTTGGACTGGGTGATATGATCACACAAGCTATATCTCCTTAGGAAATTAAGCTGAAATGCAGAGAAATTTCAATGGGTAATGTTTCTAGTTTAACTTACATTCACTGATAAACTTCTCAAAACCCAAGACTACTTGTTTCCCATAGTGCTTGCAGTTTGCTCTCCTCTGGCTAAGGCACTTTAAAGTAGTGCAGGTTTAGATGTGTCATGACTTGTGGTTCCTTTCTTGACTTTCTCCACAGTGTTCACCAGCTCCCATCACTCATTTTCGCCCTGCCCTTATCTGCAACAATTCAACAGCCCTTCAAATATGACAGAGCAATTCATTTAAATATTGTTCTTTTGGGGTTCTCCCACCCTAAAATGTACATTGCTTTCTGATTTTGATCCAGGCCCTTCACACAGTTGCTTTTGCAGAAGTGTGGAGTATAGGCAAGTAGTACTAAGGATGATAAGAAATCACTGAATATGGAGAAACGGTAGGAGTCACTTGAAGAGATTTTTCTGCCGCAGAAATTGTAATATGGAGCCATGCCCCAGGATCCCTTGCTGGAGTGGTTCTGTTTTGCCTCAGCAATAGATTATTCATGAAATCAGTTAAAGTGACACTAGCCTGGTGGTTTCAGTAACTTGTCTGAGAAATAGGACATCCCTGTTCTTTTTGCAGCCTTAAGGAATGGTAATTTATGAATAATACATCTGCTTAATATGTCTTCACTTTGTGAATTTTGTTTAAGCTCCACAGCAAATTAGGACCTTTATTTCTAATTTCTCTTTTAGTAGAAACAGTCAAAACAAATTATTATTTTGGATGCCTAAAACCTAGATACATCTCATGCTTAATGATTTTATAAAAATTTCAGAATCTAAGCCAAAAATACATGGTAGTAAAGGTCTTCAGTAAAGGGGGCTACTTAAGCATATATTCCTCAAAATATGCCATGTCAGTGTACACAAACATGCTTGTTCTCCCTTTACTCAGGAAAGGGTTATCTGACCCTTTCCTTCAGCCTGCTCAGTCAAGTCAACTATGCATAAATAAGAAGGAAACTTATGCAGGAGGAAACTGAAATTAGATTAATAATTAAGATATACTTTATGCAAAAACATGAAACACTCTTGCCAAAAATTCTCAGCCTAGCTAGCATGTGAATGCATATAAAAATATTCTACACTGAAACTTTGTGTCAGCAGGTCACAAAAAGCACTTATCTATGTATTTAATAGGTCTAGAATTTATCAGGTGTGTTTCACTTCTCCATGAATGATACAGTTTTTTGTTAGTCATTTTAAGAGTGGTATTTTTGTAAGTTTGTGAACAAAGAGTAACAGCCAAATCCCAGAAGTTGAAAATGGGTACAACCTCAGGATCAGCAATCAGTGTTTTGAAGAGGCTTCCTAAATTTAGGACAAAAACAAATAAAAGAGAATGAGCTTTTGTGTCATTACCTTGCCATAAGATTTCCATAGTCTCATCAAAGGATTAAATAAACAGAAAAAGAACTGATCTTTGAAGAAGATCTAATGCAACAACATTGAATGTCACTGTTTCAGGCTGTGGCTACTGTGGCTACCTGTGCCACTGCAGTAACAAGCAGGCTATACTTAAACAGGAACAGAGTAATTTGTTGGTTTTTTTTTTTTTCTAATGCAAACAGATTATAAGTATTTATTGCACGGTTGCATACTTAAGATTTGCTGGAGTTCTGTGTGAGGCGGGGTAGGATTTGCCTGGTAAAGCCCATGAAGCTTGTAATGGGTATCTAAAAATATTTGAATACTGTTCTATTTTTTGGAAAGCAAGCTGTGGAGTGGTCAGTGCCCATGTACACAGTTAGCATTTTCAGGAACTTTAATGGGAGTTGTTAATAGAAATGCCCGGAACACTTGGACAATTATACATGCTCACTGTATAAATACCTAAGATACAAAATGGCATGGTTTCCTAACCCCTTTGTTTCTATTTTTCAGATACTATTCAGGCACATTTTGATATAGTAATTATTTGTATGATAATAGATAGCCCCAGATCTATAATTCACTCATGGGGCTTAGGTCATTTCATGCAAGGCAAAAGTAAAGTGCATTATCTATATGCATAATGTGGAGCATATTTATATTTAATGCTACCATCATTTTTCTATGAGGAGCTATTTCTATGAGGTGCACTTCCAGTTCAGAATATTGTTTATGTTGTACACATTCTCATTTTGAGATGAAAGAATGCTTGCTCCCCAAGGAAATATTGACCACTTTTGAGGTTCTTTCCTTATTTCCTTTCTTTCCATCTTCTCCTTACTCTCCTTCCTTTCCTTTCTAACAAATAAATTTTTCACTGGTAATATAATGGGAATGTTGTAATGTACGAGTATTTTTATGGACAAACTTTTCTAGTGATACTTATCAATCTAATCTGGCTTTGATGCCAGTGTTAGAAGATTATGGCAGAAACAGGATGCTTCCTTTGCTTTCCAGTGAATACATAAATTAACTTGGAAGTTAAAAGTTTCAACCTATAGCAGCAGTAGAGTCTCATCAATCCACACCGATAGGTGGGAACCTTATATTTATGCTGGCTTTAGGTCATTTCATATAGTCACATCAGATATGTCAGAGGAGGAGTACCTATATATAGGAAATCACCTGAGGATGAAAGCACAGAGGCATAGTCATCTCAGTGTATTGTGAGGATTTTTATCTATACTGTTTATTAAAGCTCAACGAGGAAATAAGTTGTAAATATGGGTGTTGAGCTAAGGCTGTACACTGGAATCAGCTTTTTAAAAAAACATCTCTAGATAAAATGTTGTTCTAACCCTCCTATGGATTATACTCTTCATCAGGAGGTATATTATCGCTTTAAATATCTCTTTTCAGTCTTTAATTTTACCACTAGTATACTATCAGAAGTTAGCTTTTAGTGGGAAAACGTGTTCATGCTGCTTCTGGCCCAGTGTTGGGAAAGAGCATCTCCTGCAGGTCACATGCAGCACCTGGGGACATGGATGTTCCTCAGTGCCCAAATGGGTGCTACCTTTTGCTGCAGGGGAGTAGGAGGTTTACAGCAACATTGCTACGCAGGCACCACAAAAGGAGGAATTTGCTATACAATTCATGCAGGCTGACAATCCTGCACCAAACTGTCACCTTCCATTTTCTCAAGCAAGCAATCACCTCCTCCTTACTCCTTCCAGAAAGCAGAGCTTCTGAAAGGCTCTTCCTTTGGGGAGGCAAGACTTCAACTGTCTTACTTTTCTCAGTGAGGCTGCTGGCACTCAGAACTCAGGGTCATTTTTAATAACCAAAATAGAGCTGATTTCCCCCTGGACTGATTCTGTGTAGTTAGGGTAGTGCCACCAACAATAGCACTATACCAGGAGGTTCATGGAGGCAGAGGAGAGTGCGTGCACAGCTGATTTTATAAGACCTTATAAGGTGTTTCTAGCTTTTTTGAGGCTGATAACTACTATTTGCCATCATGTCCACAGAAGTGTTGTGGCAGCTTCCCCAAAGTCCTCTTAGCAGCCATAAGAGAAAGATTTGGGAGATCAGGAAGCCAGCTGAGACAAAGTGATGTGTGGATGCCTGATGGATTCACTGACTGTTAAGAGCAGAACTGTATCGGTAACAGTGGCCATACCATTTGTGCTCCAGCAAACCTGAAAGTGTAATTTCAGCATGAACATGATTCTTTTATTTCATCTATGTAACATTATATTTATGTATACTTTATGTGCATGTAGATGCATCTGTTTTAGAGTAATGCTGCTCAGCAGAATGCAATTACGGTATCATGGGATCACACCTCCTTGGCTTTAACAGAGACCCTTCTATGGTCTTTACAGACTCGCCCTCTTTTCTGTGTAAATATTTTTCCTGCCTTTCCCTTTTGCAAAGCAAAAAAGTTGTTTGTAACCTATCTGTAGACTCTAAACAGCTCCTACAAGGGAAATGCCCTTGAAGCAGAGAGGCTGATTGCAACATACAGTACGTGCTAATAACGTCTTCAGAGAATTACTATTACTTTGTAGCAGAGGCATTTTCATTAAAATAGAAATCTTGGCATAATCCTTTGATTGAATTTTTACCTTCTTTTGCATATTGCAGGTGAGTCAACAGTCACAGGTTGATGGGTCATTGTTCAGAAGCTCCAAAGAGTTACTCGCTCCTAAGTAGTGCCATTTCCCATGATTGTCTCTTTGCAACTTTTGTAAAGCACCAGGCAACAGAACAGGCAAATGACCAGCGCAGGATCTGGCATTATTCCTTACACTGTGCCTAGAGCTAGTACAATGAGCCTGCTAATACACTGTTATATCTATTACAGTTTGCTCACATTGGTGTTAATCGAGTATTCTTAGTAAATTCAGAAACTGACGCTTGAGACTGAATGATGATCTTTAGGTTGCCTGATACCTTTATCTGACCAAATTCATGCAGACTTAGCCATGTGCAGACGAACTTGGCACGGCTACACTTTATCTGCCTTTTCATTTCTGGTGCAATAGGATAGGAATGAGAGGAAGAGAATATATAAAGGTTCCCCACTGAGAATCAATTCTATAAATTATGTATTATGCAGACACTATTCTGCTGATGCTATCTGATCCCCAATTCTCAGTTCCTTGTTTTTCCTTCTATAAATAGCTGTGGCCAGGTTTTCAGTTGTAGAATGTTGAGGACAAAACCAGAAACCTTTCCCATTTAATAACCTCTGCCAAAGAAGAATAAGGTAATATTTTTCATAACTGTGTTGTCCTCAGGGTTTTAACAATCTGGGAATACAAGCAGCGTTATGTTGTTGATAAGATACTGGGAGTAAAAGTGGGAATAACCTTGCTGAATATTAAAGGGGGAAATGCCCTATTTTCAGGATGATCAGTATAAAATTTGCTATTGTGAATTTTCTTGACAATTTTTGACTGTGTAGGACAACTTTTGCTTTTTGTTTCTCCTAGATCCAAATGCTTTGGCTGGACAGACCGGACCTGACCATGCTCTTATAGGAGGAATAGTGGCTGTAGTTGTCTTTGTAACACTATGTTCTATAATTCTCCTTGGTCGATACCTGGCAAGACATAAAGGTAGGACAGATTTAGTGGAAGTTCGGTCACTTTTGGAAGCAAGACATGATTTCACCTGGGAATGCTGTTCCCTTTCTCCTTCCCCCATCTACTGAATGATTTAGGTGAGAAAGTTCAGTTCACAGTCCAGTCACAAGTGAAGCCCTTGTGAATTCTACACAGTTTTCCTATGGAATGGTTAAGGCAAAGGACATCTAGTTACATACCCAAGGTCATCTCATATATCAGTGATTTAGAGAAATTAAAAGGTCAGATTGCCCCTTGGCTTTGGCCCTTAGCTCTAGACACTTAGTTATATGATCTCATAGTTTTAAGTAGCATGTTGATTCAGCAGAGTATATTTATTGAATGAATAAGATTTTTCATTTTAATAAATTGTGCTAATTATATATTTAAAAGATAATATCAGCTGCAGGTGGTGAGATTTCAGATCAGTGACTCTTTTACCACTGATCCCACAGAAATAAGGGGTTCTTTCCTGGGCTAAGTTTTGCTGTATTCAGAGATTTCACCTTAAGGGTTCTATTCATTTTCAATCCCTCCCACCATTAGCCCTTGACACCAAGCTGTGTGGTTCAGTTGATACGCTGGAGGGAAGGAATGCCATCCAGAGGGACCCTGACACACTTGTGAGGTGGGCCGATGCCAGCCTCATGAGGTTTAACCATGACAAGTGCAAGGTCCTACACCTGGGTCAGAGCAATCCCAGGCACAGCTACAGGGTGGGCAGAGAAAAGATTCAGAGCCAACCTTGCGGAGAAGGACTTGGGGATGTTGGTTCATGAGAAACTTAACATGGGCCGGCTTCAGTGTGTGCTTGCAGCCCAGAAAGCCAACCGTATCCTGGGCTGCATCAAAAGGAGCATGACCAGAAGGTTGAAGGAGGTGATCCTGCCCCTCTACTCTGCTCTCGTGAGACCTCACCTGGAGTACTGTGTGCAGTTCTGGTGTCCTCAACATAAAAAGGACATGGAACTGTTGGAACAAGTCCAGAGAAGGGCCACGAGGATGATCAGGGGACTGGAGCACCTCCTGTATGAAGACAGGCTGAGAAAGTTGGGGCTGTTCAGCCTGGAGAAGAGAAGGCTGCGTGGAGACCTCATAGCAGCCTTCCAGTATCTGAAGGGGGCCTATAGGGATGCTGGGGAGGGACTCTTCATTAGAGACTGTAGTGATAGGACAAGGGGTAATGGGTTAAAACTTAAACAGGGGAAGTTTAGGTTGGATATAAGGAAGAAGTTCTTTACTGTGAGGGTGGTGAGGCACTGGAATGGGTTGCCCAGGGAGGTTGTGAATGCTCCATCCCTGGCAGTGTTCAAGGCCAGGTTGGACAGAGACTTGGGTGATATGGTTTAGTGTGAGGTGTCCCTGTCAATGGCAGGGGGGTTGGAACTAGATGATCTTAAGCTCCTTTCCAACCCTAACGATTCTATGATTAAAGATAACCGGCATGAGGTGACACTGACTTCTGACAAAGCTTCTCTACATTCCTGTTTAGTTCTAGTTATAATTTATTGATATTTAACCTCCAAATGGCTTTTAGACCTATTGTTAAAACTTGGTTAATTCCCTAAAGTGCAAATTTATGTCACCTTGAATAATAGAGAATTCCTGCCGTGCTTTTTGCTCCACAATGTTGGTATTAACTCTTTAAATCTCATTTTAGGTAGGATAATCATGTGGATAGCTGATATAAGCATGTTTTTAATTTCATTGGACTGAGTGAGGGAAACATGAGATTTTTTAATGAGCCAGTAGAAGTGTGTCTTTTTTGTTTTACTTTCCTGAATGAAATTATACATCTTATGCCAACTTAAATAATGCTTTTCACAAAGGGAAAGTTGACTATTGTACACAATTCTTTTTATTCATATATCTTTTTGTTCCTATCTTAAGCATAAAAAAATATCTGTAACAGCAACAGTATGTGCGAGCATGTTCGATTAATAAAACTACCTGGATCTTTATTAAAAAAATGACATTAATTTATTGTGGATATACTTGAATTTGTGGATATGTACTATCAGTATCAATGCTATAATTATTTCTTGGACAAATGAGAAAGTTGAGCATACCTGTATGATGTATGCTAAAATCATGTAAATATATTTGCCTGATCATGAAGCAACTGGAGCACTGTTAGAAATGTACTTCCTATAATGCAGTCTAAACCTAAAAAAATCCTAATTTTTTTTTTCCCTTTTTTCTGTTGTACTGATTCCTATAGGAACATATTTAACAAATGAAGCAAAAGGAGCTGAAGATGCACCTGACGCCGACACAGCCATTATCAATGCAGAAGGCAGCCAAGTCAATGCAGAGGAGAAAAAAGAGTATTTCATTTAGATGCAGAGCTAGAATCTTGAAGTTTTACTTATCAGGCTGACTGCTGGAGGAAACTGGCTATCATTTCTCAGAATTCATTTCTGCCATCTTCTGCTATCTTTATTAACTCACATACCTGCTATAAGCAGCCAGTTTATGCCAACAATCAGCTGTTGACATCATCGTTCTATAATTACAGTATCATGCGTAAAGCAGGACATTTCTTATTGCCTAAAATTCATATCCACTGCTCTCTTAACATACAGTGCTTGAATATACAGCCTTAACAATGTTAATCATCATCTTAATCCAAGTTTTCTACATGTTTAAATGTCATACAGCTTTCTTTTTCAGTTTTCTTTTATCATGTCCCTACTAGTGTGTCATAGAACAATACTCACAACAAATACTATTAGGTAAGGACCTAATTTACTTACATAAAATGTTAAGTGTAAGATTAGAGGTTTACAAAGAATGTTTTATACATGTCTATCTATAATTCAAAAAGCAACTTGGTTTTGAAGCATATGCCCTAGGAAACACAAACTGAAATCTTTTTAGTATAGTTTCTTGTATACTTGGATTTGGTGGAAAAAAAAGCAGTTCACTGTTCTTTTTCTGTTTTGTTTTGCTTTGCTTTGTTTTGTTATGTTTGAAATGGTACCTTGACAACAGTGCCGTGTTTCAGTGGTAAAAACATGCTGAATAGCTATACAGATTCTGCAGAGTTAGATAATAGTGCTTAATTTGAAACAAATTTGTCCTGCCCTTTTACTGCTTTTCAGGATTGCAAAGATTAGAGAACTTTCTGAGTAATTTCTGGTTTTATAATTTATTTGCTTCACATGAACTCACCTGCCTACTCAAATTTGAAGTGTTCATGGGGCACAACCGCAAGGCATTTTAGTATCTGTATATAGTGCATATAATAAATTCAATTAAACATTATTTGATACATATTCAACCTTTTGGGCAGTAACTAAGTCAGTCACAAGTAAGCATTTTCTAATGTCCATTATATCCCTTTAGATATGACTCAAATCAGTATTCCAAGTAGATAACATGTATTAGTATTTTTTGTCTGTATGTCCTAGCACTGTTCAGCAGCAAACTTTTCTAGTTCTTGTTAATTTTTTTCTTTGTTATACAATGGAAGCACAATGTTATATGGAAGGTAGTTTTAAGCTAACAACCAGTGCACAGCCTCAGGTTTTAAATTACAACCACATTTGATTACTATCCTTAAAAAAATACTATTGAGTTGCTAAAATTCTCGATTTTTAATTTGGCAGTTCCAGAGCTGCTTCTCTATGTTGGTTTGCCAAAAAATAGAAAAAAAAAAAGGAAAAAAAGAAAAAAAAATAGAAGTGTTAAAACAAAAGATATATGTTTTGTGTATACAGTAAATGGACTAATTCTTTATATTAAATTCCTGTCTATGCATTTTGTGAGGTACAAACTTATGTCACCGTGAATGATAGAGAATTCCTGCCATGCTTTTAGCTCCACAGTGAAAGTCTCTGTTTGGATTATCTCTGATTTATTTTTTTTTGTGTGTGTAATTGACAGCTGAAAAATCACATGCTCTTAAATATGACAACAAAACACTGTAAGCCCATCGGCTTATATCCTCTTCCAATGAAACTAAAGGGTGGCCATAACAGCTCTTGGAAATGATTCTACACTGGAGTATGCAAGTTAATCTAGCAGGAGCTGGTCTTGCTCCTAGGTTTTGCACCTTTGACAAAAGAGTGTTTCTGTCTGGTTGCTGTACTTGTGAAGCCTAAAAGCATGATGGTCTGCTGTAAAGGACTTTCTCCTGGGATTTTATTTTTGTGTGGGTAAGGGAGAGTTTGGAATACGACATCATGGAGTATGGTGAAACGGAAGACAAAGGTGCTCTGTCAGATTATTTATCAGAAGAGTATGAACCTTTTAAGGACAATATTAGAGTATTTTAATTGTTTTGTTGAAACATTTATCTTGTTGATTTCTAAGAAAAAAAGGTGACGTCAATCAAAGCAGCACTTTTTTTCAAAATATACAGACATAAATAATATGATGTGGTTGAGTGTTAACATAATAAATCATATACAGTATGACATTTTAAAGAAATAAGTCTGCATTGATGTGGTTGCATGCTTGTTTTTACAGATCGCTCCATACCCATCTGTGGAAAAATGCAATAATATGTTAATATAATATGGTAGTTTGAGAGAACCAGGTAGGTGCTACTAGACACATTGAAAACTAGTATAGGTTTACAAGATATTCATGTCTTTCAAAGCATACACATGAAAAAGGCTGGCAAAGGAAGTCATTCAGTTTAATACCAAAAATATGGGTTCTTGTCACAGCAGTAAGTTACATTAGCTAAGGTACAGTATCACATACAAGAAGGTTTTATTTCAGGACCTGGGGCCCAATTCAGCTAAGCATTTCAGCACATCTTCAGCTTCAGGCATCAGAGACATTCCATTGGACTGTAAATCACTATTCATATGCTTAAAAATAAGTGCTTCTCTGGATGAGGGCCTTATTTGCTAAAGTGGAATTCCCCACCAGTGTAGTGTTTACACATTTTTTCATTCTTCCCAACTTCAGCTTGCTTGAATAGTAGGATTGTTACTTGAACCATTACCCATGCAGGGGCAGGTATGACCTTCAAAAGCAGGATTGCCCTTGGGGTAACCATTTCAAACCATTTTCTCCAGTGGCATAGAAAGAGCATTTAAACTTTGCAGAAAAAAAAACAAAACAAAACAAAAAAAACGAAAAAAACCCACCCAAGAGATATAAGTTGTACTGTCAGTATAGGTTATTTCATTAGTTTTCAGTTAAAACTTCTAACATGTGCTCATTTTTAACACAGTTGATCTTCCATTGTCTTGCACCTGGTGATTCCCCTTGCAGCTGTACAAAGCAGGTGTGGAAAGCCCTACACCAGCATTCTACCTGGAGAGCACTTTGCAGGCCTATCTGGTCTTCACAGGTTTAAATCACTACGTGAGGTGTAAAGAGGCATCCCTCCTTTTTGTAAGCAAACCATGGTTCAACACTAATGACATTCAGTAGGCTAAAAGTCTGTTCCCTTTGCCCAAGATCCCATTCTGAAATACCGCTTTTATTACGGTGTGAAGTATCCATGGAATACGCAAAATGGAGGCTCTGAAAGGGAACCACCCTCGCTAAAATGTATGTGACATCCTCTCCCACACACACTTGCCGACTAGCTCTCTGAAGAGCTGGTTTCTGCCAGTGTACTGTTTACAGTGTCAGTTGCTGATTGTTTTTAAACTTTTTGATGTAGATTCTTGGTTTTTCTTTAATGTTTCAAGACCATTCTCATGATTTGAACAATAAAGCGGTGCATCAGAAGACAAGGGGTGTATCATCCCACTCTTTTAGTGTCATCTGACAAACCAAGAAAAAGTTTAAGTAACCTGATGTGTAAATTGAGGCTCGGCATTTAAGTTAGAGCACATTATAGTTTCCATATTACTTAAGGATGGTTTGTCTTGCACTAAGACTCCCTCTATAAAGGAATACGTGAAGAAAAGCAACTTTTCTAAATAAGACATGAAAGTTAACATCTTGTGTGTTTTCATTACAGTATAATATATATATATATGACTATTTCAATGAAAAGGACAGTCATTTGTAATTATGTAATTCATGATTGTAACAGCACTGAAGTTACCATGTACGCACATGTACAGTAGCTATTTCAACAGTTACAGTGTAGTTACATGTAATTCCCTGTAACATAGCAGTTATAGTGTAATTTAGTGCCACTTATTGTAAAGTGTTACCAAAAGGAAAATGGATTTCTTACCTTTACAATTCCATTCAAATTAAAGGTAAGTTTTATTAAATTAGCACTGTAAATCTGATACTGCATTTCTTAATTAAGGAGTTGATTTAAAACTTCATATTCAAAATGTCACCCTACAGCTTCCCCCCGTCTCCCACCCGCCACTTACCCAGACTCCTTCAAGTGTCCTATCTCTACACTCTTAGGAACTGGTAATCTGTGATGAACATACCAAAAATCCAGCTACTTCAACTTGAATTGAATAAGCTGTCTAATAGAGAAAAACGAACAACCACAAAAAAATAACGAGTAATGCTTTTTATTAAGTGGCACAAAGTACACACTAAAAACTATGCAAAAATATAGGTAAATACAGTGTACTTACATGTAAGTATCTTGTACTTGCTGTGTATGGATATTGGAAAACCGTGTAATTATAATATGCATTTTGATTATTTGAAGCAGGGGGGTGACCCCTAACAGTCACAAGGGAAAACTGGAAGGCACATACACAAATAGTGGGTATCCTGATGCAATATGTGTAATTCCTCTGCTTGCAATGATAACTAATTTATAAGAATGCTTGTACCGCTCCTCATTCTCACTAGCTTTGCTTTCCATTTCTTTGAGGCCCATCAAATGTCACTGAAACACGTGTAGGCAAAGTAAAACACTGACTCGGCTAATGGCTTTGTTGCCAGCACTCTGTATGTCTGGCAATACTGTTCTGTAATCTATTTCTGGCTCAACAGCACAAGTTTCCTCTTTTTTTTCTCTCCTCAAGGGAGCCTAGTATGTTAAGATGCTGAAATATGCTGCCATATGCCCTGGTATTTTTAGCATGAACAACAGAGAAAGAGAGAGAGCTGCATTCTTCTGACCCCTATTTTGCTGAATCACCTCACCTGGAATTTCTACTACTTCCTCAGTAATACGAGGTAATCTTAAATTGTAAGTACAAAATGCTTCCATCAAGGTACAGAGGATGCTTTTAATGATAAAGCTAACATTTTGTGAACATGAAATTTTGTATTACTGATCTTTTTGCTTCTTGGCACTTTTCCATCATACCCTTCCAGAAGGAATGCACCAAAAGGCAGACAACATAGACTAGCAAAAGAAGAAAATAACATTGTAAGCCTTCTTGTGGTTGCCATTGCTATAACCCTCCTTTGTGTCCTGCATATCAGGCAAATAGATGTATTCAGCAACAGCCATTAGCATCATTCCACACGCTGTACTATTCCTAGAATATGACATCTACCTCTTAGTCTAAATACTAGCTATGAGATATTTGTATACATTTTAAATACTACTGAATCTTCAGTGTAGTCTTGAAATGGGATCACTATATTTTTATTTTTTTCTGTTAAAAATAGAAAAAATAATCTTGCCTGGGTTCATAATTCTTGCCCTGTTCTTTACTAATTTTGGGATAGTTTGAGGTTTTAACAGGGCATAGGGACACAGCCTCAGCTGGTATAAATCAGCTTCACTCTGTTGCCTTAAATGTGGGCCAATTTACACAAGCTGGGGATTCATCCCAAACAGCTTAAAAATAAACTGCTAGAACACATCAGTATTTAGTCAGCACTAGATAATGATGTGCAATGCAACTGCAACACAGTTCTTTCCAGTAAGGCATGCAGGTTTAAAGAGAAACTTTTAAAAGCACATGCAAGCTTTTGAATTAAATATGCAATACCAATACTGTTGGCATATTCTGACATGTCTCTTACTTATTTAAACATAATATTGCCAGGGCATGTTTACATTAAAAACACGCAATGCATGGGGGACAAGGAAGGACTGTTGCAAACAGTAAGAGAAAAGTAAATGGATAGAGCTTCCTTCGATGTCAACAGAGCAGAGTGGAAACTCATACTGAGAGCAGGACTTCCTATGTGTTTTTTTCAGAGTGGAGCTAGTACCTCTAAAGCAAATGGGAGTTGTCTACTTGGTATTAACAGAAGCTAGCACAGTTTCTTTTTGCTGTTGATCAATCTAACCCAGCACTCTGCACTTGTTTTAACTCAGGAGTAAATAAGGGTACAGACATGGTTTAACAGCACACTTCCATATCACTCCACATCCTCAGGATGCTCCAAGCTTTGTGCACTTCCAGCAGCCCTTAAGGGATTTCTTCCAGCATGTAGGAATCATCTTGTTGCCAAGCGATGTTCATTCTTTTGAGCAATGTTTAATGTACTCACAACCAGATGGAAGATGGTGTGGAGCCAATATGATGACTCTACTAGAGGGTACAAGGGGCTTCCAGAGCCTCTCGGGAGGTGGCAAAATGTAAAAAATAAAATAAAAAAAAAAAAAAACCAAACCCCATGCTTCCTCATGACTTCTATGTTTATTATATATCTGCCCTCCACATTCTGTGTCTTAAATCATCTATTCTCTGTTGGGCTAAAAGCAGCAGTCTAATTGGAAAGGAGGTAAGAAATAGAAGTCTGTCCTCTGAAAGGAGCATGTCTGTGTTACTATTAAAGAAAAGTTCAAGGATTTTTATTTCTTCTCTTTTAATTTAAGATTCCAGGTGTAAAGCCAAGCCTGTTAGGGTCAGCACTTTCGCACTTTCCCTGTGTTCAGGGTCAAGCCAGCAGGGTTTCATGTGTGAGCTCTGATCTCACAATGCAGCACAAACTACAGACAGCCTTACTCTGCCCTTATGCATAGTGTTGAAAATCACTGATGCTATTTTCTTCTAAACATACTCATTTTCTTAATCTTATTCTACATTGAAATCATTGTAGGGTTTTCATAATAGGTTCTAAAGGAGGGGTTTTAAAGTAATAACTTGTAAAGAAAATAGTAATGATCATGATCGACTGTTTATGTTGATTATGAAAAGGAGGAAAATCTTTAATTGCTGGGCCAAATTTTTTACCACTTCCTCTTCCTCTCCTTTCTATGCATATTGATTAATGTTAGTAAATACACAGTTCCACATGTGGTCCTTTTTCAGTGAAAGCAGGTTTTCTTATACCCCTGTATAGCTTCCATGGAAATATGCAAATATGACCTACCGTCATCAGCTTCTGCCTAGACAGTGAGCAAAGAGTGAACTCATGGATTACTGAACTCATATATGTCCTGCTTCCACAAAAGTTGGGTATAATAGACCTATTGATTTCAAAAGAGCAAGGCTCAAGTCCTCAATACACATTGCTATTTAGCTCTTTTCCAGCAGAATTGTAAAGCAGTCCTCATGCATGCTTTACTTTTAGCATAGATATTTTATAACTACAAAAATACTTCAGCTGAAGTTTCCTAGTTTCCTAGGACAAATAGTAAGGCATAATTGGTGAAAGGACTTTAACAACTTCATCTGTTCGTAGTCAGGGTGTGTTCTTCTAGGAGCTCCAGTGTACTCTGCTCTTACACTGCCCAATTATCGCCTTGGGGAGGTTATATTTGAATATGATCACTAACATGAAAACAAAATCCATGGGAATTAAACATATTGCACTGATGGTGAGATACGTTTCCTTCATTTAATTTTGTCATTAATAACGTTAAGCATACAAAATGCATATTGTAATGTAAGGTACATGACACTTGCATGTTGCTATGCCTATATACTTACAAAGTATTCAATGTGTACTTAGTGGCGCTTAAAAAATGTCATGTACGATTCTTCTAAACATTCTTACAGGGTTCCCATTTGCACTTCATCTTTCAGAAAAGTCTTGTCAGAAAATTGTCTGATGAATATTATTGAAAAAAATAAAATTGCAATTTTAGTTATCTGTTGGACATTTCTGAATTGTCTATTCATTTAATGTATTTCCTGGTGCTTGCCAGTTTGGCAGTGGAGTTGATTTAGACCAGTGGCTGTACACACAGACTATTCACTGAGCATGTTTTGCTGTTTCTGGTAGAATTGTTATATGCTTCTCTAAATACTAATTCTGATGTTTTAAACAGTTATCTAAGAAAATAATCTGTGAGACACTGGTGTTTTACAGATAATTACAAATTCTGTTATTTTCTTTGATATTTGTATGCTATTCACTGTGTATTCTTCGTAGTTTCTTCTGACAGACAAAGTAACATCTTTTGAAGGCTGGCCTCACTGTGGGAGAAATTCATCCTTATGAAGAGGTCAAGTGCTAAAAAAGCATTTAAGCCTGTGGGACTTAGACGGTGGATTAGTCCCCCTGAAGAAGCTAGAGAATTCATGCAAGGTTTTCTACACCACTTATAATGCTTGAGTTGATGTTACAAAGGGCAAGAAGGCCACTGGTCTCAAAGGGAGAGAGACAGATGTCACAGGGAAATTCTTAGAGGGTCTGTGTTTATGAAAAAGAATCAAGTCCCATATACAGAGACAGACACTAACCGAGTTTGGTACCTCCATGCAGAGGAAATCCAGGCTGCTCGGGGAGGTTGCGGGGTCCCTCTCTGAAGACATTGAAAACCCACCTGCATTCCTGTGTAACCTGCTGTAGGTGGCCCTGCCTTGGCAGGGAGGGTTGGATGAGATGATCTCCAGAGGTCTCTTCTAGCCCTAATGATTCTGTGATCTTTGATGGCAGAGCTTTCCTATGGCCTAAGCTATTCATGCATTTGACAAATGTACAGCCCCTTTGGATTCAGCAGAGTTGTTCTTATCTTTATTACTTCTTTTCACTAAACCAAAATACGTCCCCTTAAGTAATTTCTAATGTGCCATGACATTTTCAGTACAGTTACAAGTGCAGATTTCCACATGATCCTCAAAGTAATATGCCCATGATATAGGGCAAAGCATGCTGAAAATCTGTAGTGTACCCAAGGAAAATGACACAGTCCAGCAAATGACACAATCCACCACTGGATTTTTAGTTTTCTGCGTTCAAAATGTAGTTCTTTTCATACTGTCCTGTTTTCCTTCATCAGCCAAAAGCTTCCCCAAAGGTAACTGTACTTTGCTCTTTGCCTTTCCCTGGCTGAGAGTAGATTCTTACAGTGATCCTCTTACATGATCCCTTTTAAGGTCCTGTTTCATCAACAGCCAACAAAATAACCTCCCTTGTGCCCACCTTCTGTAGTAATAAAAGACAAAAGTCCCTTTTTGTCTGTGTTTTGGGTTTTATTTTGGGGGGTCTCTTTGGTTGGGTTTTGTGCGGTTTTTTTGGTTTGGGGTTTTGGGGGTTTTTTTTGTGTTGATTTTTTTTTTTTTTTGCAATACGTGTATTGGGAAACAAACATGATTTCTTCTAAACTGTAGCGGCTGCCTGAGATTTCTTTGAATACTGAGTATAATTTCCTTGAATACAGAGTCTCTGTACCAGACTGTCACGGCATTATACACTGATGTGAAAGAGTCTACTTATCCCTTTTAATAGTCATAAGGCACCGTTATGAAAATATACACACTTTTTCAAAAGTAATGTTACAGAACAGCACTTGGCTAAGCTCTGCTGATAAGTAAGGTAAAGGTAAGTGCAATTAATGAAATTCAGGGATAATCAAGTGGGGATAATGAAGATGATTCCTTCCTTGACAAAAGAGTCATAGTACATTGCCTTCTGCTTCTGCTTCAAGCACTTGGCAACATCCTGAGCCATGGGAGGGCACTTTTGATTAGCTCTGGGCTACTTACTTGCCCTAGCTCTTGCTCCTGCTGAGTTCATAGCAATAGCTTCTCTGCTGCTCCAGGCTAAGAGGCTAGGGCCTTATTGATTCTGCAAGCTGCGTGCAGGAAGAAAAGAAGACAGAGAATGTTTTTAAGCAAGCCGGAAAGATTTTTTAGAAAGAGGCCTCTTATTTATTCTGTGGCAGCTTGCAGGAAATTAGCACTAATGTCAGCTGGTAAGGATAGTAACCATTCCTGCTTGGTGTATTGAGAGGGAGGATGGGGGGCGTACATCCTCTGGGTTGTGCCAGCTGGCTGGATGAAAGAGGGAAGGAGGGAGCAAGAAGGCAAATCTGTGCCCTCCCAGGAGCATAGGAGACAGGTCTGTACCTCTAGGTGTAGGAATGAAGGCAGGGGGCTGTTATTATTCTTCTTTTCAGTCTGTATTCACTTCTAGAGCTTCAGCTAAAAGGGATGCAGCCAGCAGAATCACTGAGCTACTGAACAGGAGAAACATTCTCCAAGGCACTGATGCTGACACCCGGCAAACAGGCAGAGCTTTCCATTTCAAGGGCTTTGAGTGGATAGAATTTATAGAGAGGTGGAAATTTATAAGATACAAAAAAGGAAGAAGCAGCAAGCAAATCAGAATTTGGACCTTGATAGATGAAGTTGGATAGAAAGTACAAGTAATTCAAATGGAAAAAATACCTTTTTCAAGGGCTTTTAGTTCTGTATCACAGCATTAGCCAGCTCTGTCTCAGGACAAAGAAGATACTTCATATAATTCTGTAACTTTTTCAGTGCATTTTCACTCTTTCTGGAATATCTAATGCTTACCTCAGAGACAAAAGTGCATATACCATAATGTGATCCAGTTAAAGTACATCATTATATTGCACTCACTAACATAGTATGAGATTACCCTCCAGAACAGCAGTAAGCAACATGACTAGGATCTGTCATATTTATTTTCCCATCCACTCCCCATGGAGGAGTATGTGTGCAATGAAGCATTGTGGCCTATTTATTTATCTATTTTCATATTTCCCCTATGTTTATGCAAGAAGCTTAGGTTAAAAAAAGCACTTTGTACTTGAAGAAGAAACCAGTTTGTGATGGTCGCTTCTTCCTGAGAATCAGTGCCCCAGTTTTAGAATATTCTCCCTGTACAACCTTCAGCATGATAGATGAATAAAGTTATTGATGGTGGTCTACATTTATGAGCTCTAGGGAGCCTTTCAGCTGCACTCAAAATCTGGCCTTTAAAATAAAGTCCAAGACCTTGGGCTAAATTCCAAAACCTGTAAGAAGCTAGTGTAGACTGCAGGGAACAGGCTGAGCTTGCATGTTACTAAGAAGATGCATCCAAGTTTTCCATACCTTTGAGGGCATTCTTTGTGGCCAGCTATATTGCATGGCCATAGGTGACAGAGATGAATTGTTGCCACCACCTTCAAATTCATTTGTTGCCTAAAGGTAATAAAAAGCAATGGATATGGCTACTGTTATAGAGAAGCGTAGCAGTACTCCTGTTGGGGGTTTGGATCCTGGGTTTGGCATTCCCCAGAGGCAGAGTGACCCCTTGTGTTATTTACCTGTATAGAACTGAGATTACTAGTTCCCTCTTCATGCAGCTAGCACATGATTGCAGCTCACCTGACCAACCAGCCTCCCTTCTGCACTGGGAAGCTGAAGGTGATGAAGGATAGAATTAATTCCATGGGATTGGACAGCTGCAAGATGGAGGTATGGTTTCCTATAACTACTCCTTGGGAGCCTCATGCCAGCAAAGCTGATGTTAGTATCCTCCCCTTTTACAGCAACCCTTGTGCAGCGCACAAACACTTTTGGAGAGCTTTTCACAGGAAGAGGGTCACTAGGTCATTGTGGAGAGTTGTTTGCACATGATAAGCTTCTCCTCTGATGGGTGGTTTAGAGACTGTAAGAAGTCTGTTCACATTTGATATCTCCAGTTGATGAAATGTGAATGCGATGTCTTCTGGTTCTGTATGAAATCAGCAGTGGGCTATAATTTAATGTTTTCATTTTTCAGGTTGTATGAGCTCAAACACACAAGCACAGATGCACAGGAACACACACACATAAGCACAACACGTACTTCATGTATTTTTCTATACCTCCTTCTTACCCCAGTAGATATCTTCTAATTGCTCTACTACTCTAAGCTCATGATTTGAAATCTACCATAGCATCTAAGGAAAAATCTTTCTCTTTTTCATGTTTTTTTTATACCTGTACAGCTGCGAGTGTTGCTTTGTGTGGCATAAGTAAACTAACTCTAGGTTTACTTATTGATCAGCAACTTTGGTTGAAATTTTTTCACCAGGAGGCCTATTCAGGCTTTCTAAAGGAGGCCATAATATATAAAAAGGGAGGGGGAGGATTTTCCTACTGTGCTTCGTACAGCTAGGCTGTATTCACTGAAGTCGGAGAGAAATTCAACATCAGTTCCTGAAGCTGCCAATCACTGCACCCAGGATGGGAAGGAAGCTGTTGATTGTGTTGCTGCTTTTTGGCCCTGCTGCAACTTGGCAGAGAGTGTGTGTTGGCAGAAGCACCAGATCAGGGCATTATTTGACCACCAAATCACATACTTTTCTCTGCCAACATCATTCTTTATTTGTTTCAGAGTAGGAGGGAAATAGCATGGCTTGTTTCAACGTTCCTAGAGCCTTAAATCTACCTTTCATTCAGGAAATGAATCATGATCATCCTGCCTTGCTGGGGCAAAACCAGCCTATCTGGTATATTTCCCTTTAATGCACAAAGCTAACAAATAACTGCCCCTGTAAGGAACTGGGAATAAGGGGACGAGAACTGTATAAGCTTGGTGGGGTGGAGAAGAACAAGAAATACAACAGAAGCGAGGAAAAGTGTTGGCAGGAGTAAATGCCTTGCCCAGCACTGTGTGTTTCACCATTAGAATGTGAATGTGAGGTTCACAACTAAAGAAAGGGGATGTAGCTAAAGATTCAGGTAAGACCACAAAAACTGTTAAGGGCTCAGGGATGGAATGAAAGAAATTTCAAAGCAAAGGCAGAAAGAGGAAAGAAGATGATGGCAGACTGACAGTGTCACTGTTGATATGCCTGAAAGCCCCCAGAGCTGGGAGTGTGGAGGCATCACATCAGGTTCCTGACAGAAAGGACTTCCACTGTCACTC